ATTAATAGTTACCTTCGAAAAAATGAATTTATTGTATTTGATCTTACTAGGTCAGAGGATGATCCATTAGCAATTCGGCTAAGGTTTGATACTCCACTAGATTTGCAAAAAGAGATAGAGTTACGGCAAAAGCACAAGATAAAAAATGCATTGCCAGCTGAGCCCACGAATTCTGAACCCAAAAAAAACTGAAAAATCAGCCACGTAAGTGTCCTGCTTCGCAGAAATGAAAAGTCTATTAGTATTAATCCCTTTTTTTTCTCGTCTTTCAGAAAAAAGATATAGTGTAAACTACTAGGGTAATATATATGGAGGTAATATGTATATTTCTGCTATCTATTTTTCTGGCTTCGAGTGATAAAGTCTCAAGAAGGTGGGATTTTTATTTTACATCAACACTTTTCTATCTGAGTTGATATAAAGAGCCAAGATGATTTGTTTGTTCACAAACTTCCAAAGCACTTAATTGTATTATATACTCAGAGATATGAAAGTGACTTGCTAATGCAAGAAAATTATTGATAAAAAGATACCTAATTGTGATCTCAAGAATAGCATTAGGAAAACGATGGACAACTACTCTATGCAAAAAAATATTACCAGCTTTCCTTTAGGAAAGATAATGAAATAAAGTCTAAAGTACTAGCCCTCGGAAATACTTTAGGTTGTTTTATTTTAAATAGATATATATATGAATAAGTTATATAATTGATTAAATACTATGCTTCTAAAAGTCGCTTTTGGAATCTAATATGCAATTGTCTCTTTTTATAATCTATTTCACGTTAAATCTATTTTAGGTATATTATTGCGGAGCATATTGATATGATTTAATTAAGATCGTTCGGTCAAATCCGAGATATGCAAATCCGAGACATACGTATTCGATTAATTATACTACTTTTACTTGAAAAAGTAAATGAACGTCCATAGATTTTTACCATTAAAACATGGTTGAAACAATGTTGAAGTGTGGTTGGAAAAACAATAAATTATACAATATATCTTAATATAATCACGGATATATGAATAAAGTATGGTTAAAGTACTGCCGAAGTACTGTTAAAATACTTACGATACACTTATAAAAGCAACAAATCCCACCTTTTCACAGTCTATTTATGCCACATAGGGCGCCTTTCGGCTTGTCGGAATAAATATTATAAAATATGATTGAATGGACCGATTCTCAAATACGTATAAGTGTAGAAATAGAAATGAAGAACATCATAATTTTGGAAGGAATCGAATCGGATTTTGGGATAGCATCGCAACCAGAATTAATAGAGAACATAATACGAGCTTTAATGGACACCAATGTAAAGAAAAGTTTATGAATCTTGTTCGGGATTACAATGTATGTATGATATATTATTTTTTTGCTTACATCTTAGCTATTATGACTAATAATTTACGTCAATTAGTTGATGTGCGATTATATGGCAGGGAATCGAAGAGCACGAAGACGTCGAACGGGTGCGCAATATTTTGATAAGTTTCGTACGCATTTTTGGAAGAGGCCTGAAGATGAATTTGATAGAATCCGTACTATTAATACCACAAACCATAGGCGAAATAGAGATTTGGGAAATATAACACCAGCACTATCTATCGAGGAGGTTGAACATGAATTAGGTCAAACATTGCCAGGGAATCGAAGAAGCCGAAGAAATTCGGTTGATAGTCGAAGAAGTCGTAGACGATCAGCATCTCCATCCCGTGATACAATAAACACTAATACAAACAATCCTGATGCGATGAATCCTGAAACATCAACTCTTCAACCACCGCCTTATGGGGCCACAGATGAAGCGCAAAATATTAGCCTGAGGCTAGCTCACGCCAATTTTCCAGAAATGAATCAGAGCCATGTCGTTTCTAGCCACAAAGTAGCTAACTCTGGCAATAATTTAACCCCTAATTTGCTAAATATGTCCTTATCTCAAAACGAAAGTGATGTTAGTATGCACGATGTAGGTAGTCAACCACTCTTTCATACGGAATCGATAAATTCAGAGGAAAATACCTCTTATCACCACACACAAAATTAATATCAGAAAAAAAAAAGAACGACCATTTAGGCTGATTGCTTTATTAATACAATATAAAATACATGTAAATCTGTTATTTTTTGGTAATTTTTTCTTGCACGCGTCGCTTCTTAGATCCGGGCTCATCACAAGCAGAAATCCTATCTTTCAATCCATTATCTCTGAGATTTTGTGATCGACAAAAAAAATATCTAATTACCAATTGAGACATGTATCTGAAAATTAGGTTTCACAAATAACATGTGCTGGAATTATTATTAGTATGCGCGGATTGAATAACGATATTCAGATTTTGTATAAGTCTCACCGGTATTTAAATCATAATAATAACCTTCATCATCATCGTCAGAAAATCCACAGAACCCATCATCATCTTTAGACGCATTAGCATCCTCGCTCCGTGAATCATCTTCGTTGTTATCGAAGGAATCTTCAAAATTGTATTCATAGTTGGAATCTTTAGATGCAATAGCATCCCCATTCCGCGAGTCATCGGGTGCACTTACCTGTATCTTGACTTCTGATGGATCAGAATCTCGATCAATCTCTTCACTTATCGAATTAGAGGAAGTGGTTATAATATTTACCTTGGTTTCTGATAAAACTTGATCGTTCCCCGGGGGAACGGTTTTCGATTTCACTTGATCTATAATATTCTGAATTTGTACATTAGTCAATTTTAAAATCTCATTCGCACTATATGTAATCAGCTTAATTTTATCTATTCCGACACCATTTTCTCCGAATAACATAAGAAGTTTTCTAGCTCTAAGAGTTTTTTTACGCAAGTTATCTTGAGTGATATTAGGAAGAAACGGTTTCATTTCTTTATAAATCATCGTTCTTGCTGTTTTGTCTTTGATCTTACCATCAGCTGTAATAACATGAACCCTGTTTTCAAATTCAAGGGAATAATAATACCAGTTTAAGATTTCCTGTTGTCGAGATTTGATTGCCGTTTTAAATAAATAAGATAGATGTTGAGCTGGACCTTTATTTTCTGTAGAGTTGGTATTACCTATAGCAGAATCAACAGTGGAATCAATGAGGCATTGCTTATCAGTAGATAAATATAATTCTTCAATCAAACCCTGCTCTATGATTTCATTTTTATCACACTCGACATCTTGCTCTAATTTAGATATTTCTGAACTAATAGTCTTTGTATCACATGATAAATTTACATCTCGATCGTTCCCCAAGGGAACGGTTTTGATATTACATAAATTTCCATCTTGATCGTTTTTTGAGAGAATGGTTTCTGTACTACCATATGATAGGTCTTGGATAGCTGAGGATGTTTTACAACGAGTCTTTGACTCTTCTTGAAGCTTTTTTTCTCGATTTCTTTCTTTTATTTCATTACTTACCTTTTCTTTATGCACCTCATCCAGGAATTTATCGATCACCTTATCTTCCAATGATTTACAAGTCTTCGACTTCTGACATACGCCAGAATTTGAAGCGATATCAGATATATCAGATATGTTTTCTGACATTTGTTTGGATATATCATCTTGTGGTAAAGAGGTTGCAGAGGGTGATGCAGAGCATTGAATCTCTGATTCTTCAAGTTCCGTTAAAGATTCAGATTTCGCTGAGCTATGTTCTATTTCATCAGGAATAATCATTTCTTCAGGCACGTTAGTGCCCTCACTCCGTGAGTCGATAGGTTGCGGAATATCTTAGCATAGCGGGCTTTATTATGATTGGCTGATTTTGAAGATCATCTTATCATAAGAAAGTCTTATTAAAGTAACGATT